ACGTCAGGTGTCGGAAAGCCACACCACTTTGTTTGCCTGACTCATCTCATGCTGAACGATTTGGCGGTGTGGGGTGGTTTATTTTGAGGGGTATAATGGGAGGTTGTTTTGGCAAACCCCAGAGGTGTCCAATGCTGAGCTTCACCTGTTTACCGATGCAGCCAGTTCAGTCGGTTTTGAGGCTATTTTCGGTACCCACTGGTGTGCGGACACGTAGCCGGAATCCTGGCACATTTCGGCTTTTGGTTCAAGTTTTCTAGGGTTCCGGATGTGATGAAGGTGTTCATAGTTTATTGTTTCTGATTATGCGTGGTTGGCATAGAGGAGCTTGGGTGCCTGACACCACAGATCCATTTCTGGTGCTCTTCTGCTGAGTATCTTTGAGGTGTTACCTCGTGTCTGTTCATCAGAGTTTGAAGTAGTCTTGTTCCAGGTGGTGTTCGCTTTCACCTTTTTTGGGATGCTTCGGGTTGGGGGGCTTGTTAGCTCTAGCAAGCAGGTATTCCGGGACGTTTCCTGTGACGGGGTGTTTGTGCATTTCTTGTTGCGCCAATCCAAAATGGACATGTTCGGAAGAGGTAAGTGGGTTTCCCTTCACGGGATTCCAAGGTCTTTGGTGTGTCCAGTTGCCTGTTTTCTTAGTTTCTGCGTGATTTGCCCTCTCTCCTTGGCCCTCCTTTTGGTTCCCTGGGACTCTGGATTCTTGTCTCATTTTCAGTTTGTTTGTGACTCTCGGGTGGCCTGGGTTTCTTGGAGCATTGGTAGGCAGGAGTCTAGGCAGTCATATGTGCGCCTTGCTGTGCTGATTCCGTTTTCCCCTGTTTTTGTCTCCTTAGGGTCTGAGTAGTGAGTGTGGCCAATCAGACATTCTTACATCTATTGGGCTCATCAGCGTGGGGGTGTTTGACCCTGGGGGAGGTGGTAGAATTTTGGTGGTTTGGGTCAAAGGGTATGCAATGTGTTCATGTCCTGCCTGAGCTCATTTAATTGTCTTGTTTCCTTGGAGCTCTGGATGCCCTGGTAATCCACCTGGGGGGCAATGATTTGGGTAATGTTCCTATGTAGGGTTTGGGGGTTAACGATGAAGCGGGGCTTGGCTCAGTTACATATCCTTTTCCCTGATTTCTGTTTGATGTGGTCAGAAATAGTGTGACACAATTATTGGAGATGTGCTCGGGATCCAAGAGCGATGGAGCACTGCAGGGTGAAATTGAACAAAGGAGTGTCTAAGTTTGTCCAGGGGGTTGGGGGTTCACTGTGTGTCATCGCATTTTCGAACATTTTTGAACAGAACAAAGCTATGTATTTCAGGAGTGATGGGGTCTATCTTTCGGAGGTGGGCCTTGATTTGGTTAAGGTGGTGGTGGGGCACCCGTGCTGATTTTAAGGTTAAAACAGCGGGGCTAGTGGCAGTAGGATCCTAGCCAATCAGGGTTGAACCAGGAGTCCATGAAAAAAAGATAAGAGCGGATTCCTCCCCTTACCTTTGGTATACGGTATTGGATGTTCCAACTGAGCTGTGATGGACCGCCTGGCACCCCGACTGGGTGCCTCCACCAATCACTGCTTCCTAGTACCTCCGAGTACTTCCAAGCACTCCACCAGACACCATCAGCACCATAGTCCCCACTTCCAGCATTACAGCTTGCTGGGGTATCCAGCTTCCAGGGCAGACCTCTCCTACTCCAGAGAGTGTAGCAGACTGCTCTTACAAGAGCAAGTGATTATAACCCAGAGGAGTATAGTGATATAGCAATCCCCAGAGCAGATACAGCTGTTCCCCCCACACATGAGATGAGACTCTATGTTAAGGGTAGGCAGGAACTCCTTTATTGGGAGCCACAACTGGCCTTATATGCATATCCCCATGTAAGGGGCACTCCCACATGGACCTTGTGGGAGACTTCAACACAAAATCACAGACCAATAACAACAATGTTTTAAATGCATGACACTCCCATATACAAACATACAATCCCGCCCCTCTGCCTGGGAGATAATTGAGTCAGATACTGTATTAACTCAATTATCTCCAGGCAGAAAAAATTGCCTATTTTAATAAAACCCCAAACGTACCCTTAAAACTCATAAAAATGATATCCCCTGATAGCCCCGATCTGGGTGAACAACATATCCAAAAATCACACAAAATGCACACAAAATTACTGTCCAAAAAGAGTTCCAGGATATCAGTCTGGTTGGTCTACTTCGGGGATTCGAAGTAGAATATAAAATACTGAACATATATGTTCAGGAGTTGGCTCAGTTTCTGTCTCTCGTTCGGGAGTTTGTTCCCACCGAACGCCGTTCAATTCCCATTCGAATAGCTGAACATCAGTGGAA